TGAAAATAGTTAATCTACTGTTGTTCAATCCACTGTTCACTTCAATTGCTTACTCTACAATACAGAATATAATTATGAAAATTAAACATATTCACAACCACCTGTTAAGGAATGCAATTCATGATACATGATATTTTATGATTATGAGAATAATATTGAAATATTTCATTACATTATAATGCAAGAAATATTTCAAATAACAACTTCAAATTGTTATTAAAAAATAATAATTAAAATATATTTCATATAAAAATTCGTACAAATTAAATAAATATTTGAATTAATACAGAAATAAATAATTATTTCAAATTGATTAATATCAATAATATCAAAACAATAGTTTAAGAAGTATAACCTATAAATATTTTTATTTGAATATTTTTATTTCTTATTTGAAATACTATTTTATCCAGCATTTTGATTAAAATTCTAGAAAGAATTTATGATTACATACGTATGAATAATTTTCGGTTAGCCATGATTAAATCGCTTTTCATTCTCATAATATTTACCTTCACCTCGAAATTTATTCGCGCATGATTGCATCCGGCTTGCTAATTGGCGGGCAAAAGTAGAAATCAACCGACTTCGTTTCAAATGACCCGATTAACGGTGGGAACAGGGTTACGTCACTTTACCATTTGAGAAATTGCCGAACGTCTCGTCCACGTGTCTCTCGACATTTACGAGAACGTAAATGCACTATTCATTACTCCGATGACGTTTACATTTTTACAGATACAGACAAACTGTGCTTTAAATTTTGAGTTAAAGTTTTATTCTTGCGAATAATTCTATCTTGATTCTATTTTAATTCCGACTTTTGTAGAATTGAGAGAAACAAAAATATATTTGATGTAAATGAATAGAAATAAATATTTTATTCGAATGATGTAAAGTTTATAACATCATTAGTTTATATGACATCATTGTATGAATACTATAAAATTATAGAATATAGAATTTCTATTTAATAGAGTATTCGTTTGAGTAATACAGAATGTTGCAGAGGCATATATATATATTGTAGTATATATACTATAATATAATATATTACAGAATTATAGAAAAAAAAAAAAAAAAAAAAAAATTAGAAAAAAAAATTTTGAAAAAAATTTTTATTTTTTTTTTTTTGAAAAAACAAAATGGTTGGGGGGGATATATAAATTGTTTTATATAAACTATAAAAAAATAAATTAAAAAATAAAAAAAAAAAAAAAAAAAAAAAATTAGAAACAAAAATTTTGATAAAATATTTTAATTCTATTTTAATTTTGATTTTTATGAAAAATTGAGGAAAATAGATTTTTGATAAAGCAAGTAATATTTTTATTTTTTCAAATAAATATTATAAAGGCGATTTATATGATGCTAAATGATTTTATTATAAATGAAAAAATAAATCGAAAATATAAAATAAAATTTTTTTATTAAAAGTTTCATATTTGAAAAAGTTTCATATTTACAAAATTTTCAAGCTAAAACTGGCTATTTTCCGATTAGATACGAATTAATTATCTGTTAGATGGTTATTTTATAAATATTTTACTTTACAATTATAAAATAAAATTTCATAATTGAAATTTTTATTTTTGAGAAAATTGACATGAATATATATATATAATCAAATCTATATATAATTTTCGAATTCATTTTTTTCGAAAATTTAATTTTTAAATGAAAAAATTTATTTTATATTTTTTATTTATTTTTACATGTAAAATAATCAGCTATCGCTAATTCATTCGTATCTAATCAGAAAGATAGCTAATTTTAGCTTTATACTTGAAAATTTGTCTATATATTTTCTATATATAAATATAGAAAAATATAGTTTTAAATAATAATAGATATTTATTAAATAAATGTACAATTTTTAACTTTACCATTATATAATATATTGAAGTCATACTGTATATATAGTAAAATAGAAAATATTAATTAATTTTTAATATTATTGCGATTAAATGTAAAATAAATATTTAATTTATATTAAATCTACTTATAAATAGTATTTTTTCATAATTTAAATATTAAATCTAGAATTTTCAAATAGTATTTGATCGTAAAGATATTTGGATTTTTTAGTATATTTATTTTATTTTATTTCAAATATTTTTTTTATATTATAAAATATTTACATATTATTCAAAATATAAATTTTTTCTTGGTGAACACTTGCATGTTTTTTGAATCGATTTTCAAATAATATATATTTTTATCTCTATATTGTTGTGTTTCTTTAGAATTAGAATTATCTCGATATTTTCAACATTCTTAAATATTTTTTATTCAAATTTTAACCACGCATTTTATTTAAATAAAATAATTTTATTTCTAAATGAAAAAAGTTCATATTTTAGAGTAGAGGTATTCCATAAATTCATTTTTTGTTTCATTAAATATGTATTTGCTTTCAATTTTAAAAAATAACATTTGAAATAAGAAATAAAAATATTTCCATAAATCTACATATTTCCTTAACTTTAAATATTATAATAGATAGATTATTGTTTTACAATAATTTGTTTTTATATTAATTAAATAATATATCAAATAAACTTTTTTGAAATAATTACTTGATTTTATTAATGTTTATTATTTATAATTCAATTATTTTCCAATGTAAAGATAAAATAATTAATAAAATAAAAAATTAAATAATTGAAATAAATATTTTTTTATATATTTTATATATATATATATTTACAACATAATATTTCAAATTTATTTTTTAAGATAAAATAATTAATAAAATAAAAAATTAAATAATTGAAATAAATATTTTTTTACATATGTATATATTTACAACATAATATTTCAAATTTATTTTTTTATTAAATTTTGTTCATTAATTGAATTATTATTAATAATTATATTATTATTATTAATTAATAATTTAATATATTACATTCTAAATAAATATCTTCTATCGATTAAATTATACTTTTGATAAGTATTTTTTATTAATTTATTCATTATTATAAATTTTTTAATATTTATTATATAAATTTTTAAATATTATTTTAACGAAATTATTTCGATTTAGAGAATTATTTTTTATCTATAAAATTATATATAGAGTAAAATATCTTATACATAGAATTATCTTATCTATATAATATATATTATCTATATAATTATTTATATAGAAGCTAATTTATATAATAAGAGATTATTTTGTATATGTAAAAATATTCTAGTATAGTACTGAAAAATATAAAATAAAATATTATCATTTAAATTCTTAATTTTAAAAAATCGAAATTGAAATATATACAAACTGTGTATAATCAAATTCAAAATTAATAAATAGTAAAAATAAATTATATTAAATCATAATTCATATATTCAATTAACTATTAATTAATAAATTGTTCATTAGAAATAGTTCTATGAAATATAGAAAGCATAAAATAATTTTTCAAAAATAATGATTTTTTTAGATATTTGCCGTAGAATAAAAAACTTGAACTCTTCCGCTTATTTAATAATATATTATCTCTTGCATAGACACTATCATAAAAATATTTCCATAATCATTTCCACTATCAAATACACATATATATTTACTACTTTAATTTTCGTTTTTTCTGTAAATCCAAAATATCTATATATCCATATACAATTTAAGATTAACGTCGACATTATTCATACTATACCATATAATATTTGAAATCAAAAAAATATATCGTTCACTACACAAAATATTTTGCACTTTATCAAATATTCGGCATACTCTAATAAAAACAAGAGTATTTCTTCTTTCTGAAATTGGTTACATATTAGATGTTTTATGAATTTGTCATATAAACAATTTAGATGTAATTGTTGAAACGATAGATTATCAGAAAACAGATCCATTCACAACATATAACTCTTTTAATTTTAATGGTAAATAATAATAATTTAATCACTTTTTATAAGATTCGTATAATAGTTTATAAATCTATTTAATATTATTTTTTATTATAATATTTTTATTATAATATATTTTTTATTCCATTTATAAAACTATAAAATTTTAAAAAAAAAGTCTATAACCTAACATTATTAGTTATAAATTACTATCAAAAGCCAGAGGGCTCTGATCTCGATTAAGCCTTAAGGTGTGAATACATTGGACAGTAAAGCATCAAAAGTTGCTCTTGAAAGTATTTTGCGCAAATAGAAACTACATTGAAAATGATTGTCGAAGACTACTTTTTAATGTAATTTTATAGTTTTATATCTATATATCTGGAAAAAAATAATCTTGAAAGTAATTTCAACAATTCGTGAGATATATTTTATTTCAAATCTATATTTTTAATAAAACCTAGAATTGTTTTTATTATTGTTCATTCAAATCATCTTATCAATCTTAAAAATTTATTCTTTTATTATTATTTTATTTAATATAAAATTATAAAATATTGGAAAAAAATTTATAATTTTATGATATATCACTTATCAATTTTTAAACAAAATACTTTCTATTATCTTATTCTTTTTTCTAAAATTAAATTTAATTTACAAATTAACCCGATTATTCTAATTAATATAAAATTATAAAATTATAGAAGAGAATTCTATAATCTAATAACATGTTATTTTTCAATTCATTAATATTATTATAATATTATATTTATAGAAGAGACGTTACTAATTATTAATGCATTGCCAATTCATTAATATTACTAGTTAATAAATTACTACGCAAGAGTGCTCTGGTTGCAATTCTTGAACAAAGCTTGTATTAAAACAAAGACTATATCATTCTCTTTCTCTTAAATCGTACAAAAGTCTCGTTTAATTATTATATACGCAGTATTTAACAATCTTTCGGATTAGTACAAAAACAAAATCATAATTTTTATATCCGATTCTTCTCTATATTCGAACAAGAGAATCCTAAAATCTATCTTTCTACTTTTATCAGCCTACTCTCTTTCGAAACATAACCTCAATCAGTAGTGTATATATTTATAGAGTCAGCCTGTGTTTACTTTAACACTCACCTTGTAGAAGTAGAAAGAGTCGATCTTCGCGTTCGCATCTAGCAGCGTGTCGTTGATATTCGGATAATCCGTAAAATTCCAAATTGATCCCTCTTTCTGGAACGTGTGATTATCATCGGTCCTATTCACGATTTCTTCCACGAACATTTCGTCCTTTGTTCGTCTTCACCGCGGTTATTTCGCGATTTTCAAGTTTTTTACTCGGTGATTTGGCCATAAAAAATTCATGGCTTCTCACGAATTTTAACTAAGCATCCGACGACTTCATTTCGTTTCACCTTGTCTGGCACAAGAACGATTTGATTCACCTCGGATCGATTTCACTGGATTTGCGATTACTGCCGAGAGTCGTGATCCTCGAACATTCTTCCGGACACTGTTTTCGACGACTCTGCACGAAGAAAGGTTTTTTTTAGGGGATTCGAAGGATAGAGGTGGGGGATTTGTACGGTTTATGGAGTGAAGTGACATTGAAACGCGGCTGTTTACTCGGTACTTCATCTTTTTGAATCATAATTGAGATATTTTGACTAATTCAGATGAAAGAATTGTTTAATTGTTAGTATATCAAAGTGAGATAATCAATATTCTTTATCATTTTCTTTTTTTCATTTTCATTGTTTTGTTTGTTTGTTTATATTATATATAAAGTGTTAAAATACTCCTAGGATTTATATATATTATCCAAAACAAACAAGAAAATTGATATATAAAAATTTTTACTTATTTATTAGACAATTGTTTAAGCAATTTAAGTTTGCTTTAGAATAAATGAAGAAATAGAATTGTGAAAGAATGAGATGATTTGATTATTCAAAGATAAAACTGTTTCATTTTATTTTTATCTCATCTAATGCAAATTTAAATTATATTTTAAGAAATAAATTTCAATTAATATTTTTATATATTAACTTTTGTATTTTTTTTGATTTCTAAAATCTATTTTTCAAAGATATTCTATGAATATGTTAATAGTCTATAATAAATATATCACATAATATATAACATATACAATACATATATATATTTTTTTTATTTATATTATATATATGCATTACATTTATTTATAAATTTATAAATGTTTCTATAAAATATAAATAAAATGTTTTTGTTAAATCAAATGAATTACATTCAAAATTGTCAAAACTAACTAATAATAAAACTTTGTTCCAGCATAATGAAATCTGAAATGAAACAAAACAATTGATCCTTTTATACTTTTAAGCTTGATTCAGCTTGATTACAATTAAATCATGTAAATATCGCTTACACAATAATCCAATAAGTACTCCTAGAAAATCAAATCAAAGTAAAATAAACTGACAGTGGAATCGATTTACTAATAATCAAGATCATAGCATTTCAATCATTATTTGAAAATTGAGAAAAATATAGATGACGAGCATTAAATTCATCCAAAATTCATTATATGAATTGAATTGATTGAATTATATGATTTCAATCACAAAGGTATGACCAAATTTAAAATTTATAGTTATTTCAAAAAAACAAAATTATGAATCTAAATAAAAAAAAAACTTAAGAAATAATAAAGTCATTTCCATTATTATTCCTCGAACAAACGAATCAATATTTTCACAATATTTTTATATCAATATTTAATTATATCTGAATTATTGAGTGTGAATGCTTTAGTCATTGTAACATAAAGTAAATAATGAATCAAGAACATTAATATTATCGAAAATTTCCATTTGATATTCCCTTAATTGATATCGTATTTCCTCTCGAAACGAAGATGAGGCCAGCAGGACGATTGAATCGTTCCTATACGAGATACAGCGTATATCACTGTGGGACGACAGCTGTAAATCAAGGGCCTTTCAACGTGACCGGTTGAAAAATCCGATTCTTAAAAATCGGTGCATCAGGAGAACCTGTTCTGGGAAGAAGCGAGCCGTCTTCCTGTTACGTGGGAGCATTTCGTTATGCTGGTTATGTCGAGTGACCTCTAAGTGAGATTCGAGAAGCGGGAAATGGAAGGAAACGGATCGCGCGTGATAATACTGTGATAGTAATAGAGAATGTTTTAAGAGATCAATAGAAAAAATCCGGACGATCATGTTCCATTTGATCTTTGGAAAGAAGATCTGTGTTTGGAAGTACTTTTATTTCGAAATTTGTACGAGATTATCTATGAAAGAATTAGGTTTTATGAATGAGGATTATGGAATAGAAAGATATGTTTGATATTATGAAAAGAAGAATTATTATTATTATTATTATTTTTTGAGGAGCAAAAAATGAAAAATGAATATAGGTTATATTATATGTATAAAGTGTTGAAATTAAAGATATTGTAAAGTATAGAGAGGTTATATAGAAAGATTATATATATAAAATTGTAGAGTGAAAATAGGTTAATTAATAGGTTATATTGCATAAAATATCGAGATTATATAGAATTTTGAATATAGAGAGATTGCGTATATATAGAGTTGTATAATGGAAATAGATTAATTAAAATAATAAGCTTGTAGAAAGAAAATGATGTGCATTAGTTTAATTTTTTTTTTTTTTTTTTTGAGAAATATATTTTGAAATGAGAAATTAATTGAAACAGCTTAGAAATTTAAGCTAAATTCAATCTAATTTAATTTTTATTTAATCTAAATTTAATTTTATTTAACTTTTAACTTTTATTATTTAACTTTTATTTAACACTTAATTAAAATATAATCTAAAACTTAATTTTGAATTTAGTTTAAATCTGATCTTCTATTTAATAAATTTTAAATAAAAAGCGAATTAAAGGAAAAGAATATTACATTTTTATTTATTTACATAAAAATTAAGCTATAATTTCTTAAGCTGACTAGAGTGAAGTCTTATTTTAATGAGAGAATAAAGACTTTAGAACAAATTTGTGAAATTATAAAATTAAGAAAAGTTATTTCATAAATCTTATTATTTCATCATCTTGTTTTGAAATAAAATTCTTAAAAAAAAATTTATAATAATATTATAAAAATGAAAATATTTTAGTCAATTATATTTTCGGTAAATAAAAAATTTTGAATTTTAAAACGTCATATCTCTTAAAAAAAACATCACAAAAAATATATTTGTTATAAATAATAATATGAAAATAAAATTGAGAAAAATGATTTTATGAAATTTGTTATAACTTTTTTAAAAATGTTTGAAAATCCAAAATATAGATGTGTGTAAAAATATATAATCTTAAATATAATTTAGTATATATTTAATTTTATGTTTGAATAATCATTTTTTAGTTGTTTATAGAACGATCTTTATTTTATTACATACTTTTCTATTATAAAAACAATGACAAAACTTTTTTCGTTAAGTTTTTTCTTTAAATAAATTTCAAACTTAATATTTTTTTTTTCACGAGTGGAAATTTAATTATCATACTTCAAGCTATTTTCCACTGTAATTTTGTTTATAATTTGAATCTAATCATTTAATTAAATTGCATTGTTTATGAACTATTGTCTTCCACAATTGTAATATCTATCTTATGAATATCTTATTAATATGAAAAACCAAATCAAGATTTGTGCAACTAATAATATGGTAAAATTTTAGACTTTTTAAATTTTTGAATTAGTCTAAATTTCGATTTTTCAAAATTTCAATCATTTTTTCAATAAAAATCTCATAATCGATATATCTTCGTTCAATTAAAGAAAAATTATTACAAAATCAAAAAAAAATAAATAAATAAAATCATATGATTATTGACATGTCATTGATATCATTATTAATAAATAATATGTAAAAAAAATAAATCAAGATTTTATATATCAAGTTATTAGAAATTTCATTTATCAATCTTTTACATTATTTGATTAGATTTTCGATTTTGAATAGTAAGAAAATAAATAAAAATTATATGATTCGAGATTATTGAAATTAAATTTTATGGTTAATAAATTGTCACATCAAGGAAAAAAAATTAAGATTGTTGAAAAAAGCTTATTAAAAATTTCATTTTTCATTTATTCTTTTGTTTTTTCATTTCATTTCAACTTACTGTTTCTTCGAAAATTTTAACAATAAATAAAATAAAAACTATATGATTTACGATTATTGATATTAATTTTTTATCAAGAAAAAAAGATGAAGATTCTGCTGAATTTGTAAAAAATTCCATTATTCCTTTCATTTTTTTATTTTTAATTCACTTCCTTGAATTTTAACAATGAAACTCAAACCATACAATAAACTAAAATTGCACATAATTATTAATATTAATTTTTTATTTAGGAAAAAAAATCTGAAAATTTTAATAAATCTTTAAAAAATTTTATTCATTTTTTTCTTCATCGTTTGAATTGATTGTTTGAACTTCAATGACAAAGAGAAAATAAAATTGATATTAAAGCCAGTAAAAATGCAAGTTAAATATAAAATTTTTTTGTTTCTTAATTTAATTTTAATTTCTTTTTTTAATCTATTCAGAATTTCATAATCTATTCAGAACATAACAAATGACAATATATACTTCATTTTTTCTTAAATGCACAATCATATTCAATTCAATAATTATCAATTTTATAATTAAATTTTTTTATTTTGTAACAGTATGATAAAGTGGAATATTTAATCAATCTGGTTAAAAATAGAAATAATAAAGCCACTTTATATAATGAAAATATTTTTGTAAAATTTTTATTTTTTAAATAGCAATATTTTATTTATAATATAAAAGTTCATGTTATGAATTTAAGTTAAAGAGTTTGTTTTCTAAACACAAATATACCGACAAATGGTAATATAGAGCCATCCAAATTTAACATATCTCATATTTCATTTTTTTTATTTAAATATAAAAATCAACTTTACAAAATTAATCAATACAATAATAGAATATCATTCAAATAATTTTTTTTACGAATTTATCTTGTTTATTGAATTTTTTTTGCATAATCGTTTTATCCATCAATTTCACAAGAAACAGAACAAAATAACCAAGATCATTTCAAATTCAATTTCATTAAATTTTTTTTTTTTGAAAAGTAAATTTTATGTCAATAATCCAAAAATAAATAAAATTCATGAATCAAAATATTGTACTGTTACATAAAAATTTATTAGAAAATTAGATAAAATGAATAAAATTTATAAAAATAAATTTATAAAAATTGATATGATTATTTGAATAAAATTATATTCTATAATTAATTTTATAAAATAATCTTTATATTAAAATAAAAAACTTGAAATATTTCCAATATTTTATATTTTAATTTAATTTCAATTTAAAAATCAACATGGATCTTTATAGACATACATAAATTTTTTTACATAAATATTTTTTCATAAAATATTTAATATTAATATTTTCATAAAATATATATATATTTATATAATATATAAAATTTTTAGAATTAAAAAACTCGGTCGATAAAGTAATCTGATTGGTATTTTTTTTTTTTAATAAATACATTTCTCTCTTTCGAATCACATTCTAATTGCTTTCTTCTCTTTGATACAATCGAATAAGAAAAGAAAAAAAAAATCACATTCGATAAATGCACAGTGTCACACTTGCAAGCAACGACAATGTGTTGGTAATTCATTCCGCAACAAGTTACGTTCTTTTACTTTTGTGCTTGTCAACCGATGTCTTTCGCGAAAGAAACATTCTCAGTGTGTTACATGTTCTCGCGAGATGAAATTTATTCGAAATACACGATTGTCTTTCAACAAGATCGAAAAATACGAAAGTTCCACGAAGAAATATCGATTCGACACCGTTATTTTTCTTTTTTTTTTTTAATTTGCAATCGTGGAATATTTCAATCAGGAAGTAAAAAATTCCTGATTTCATGTATATAAATGAATGTCATCTATTTGTAAAGTTATTTGAATTTTTTTTTTGATTTCTGATATCTTAAAAAAGCGAAAATAAAAATTCTAATTATTACAATGAAACTTCTATTAATCTTTTCATTTCTGATCAAAATTTTCAAATTTCCAAAAATTCTAAAGAAAATTGATTAGCAATTCAATGAAAACAGATTTTGATCTCTGTTAATGTGACAAAATATATTTGTTATAATAAGAAATGGAACAAGGGTGGTAAATTTCAATTTATATCGGAATAAGAAAAAAAAGAAACAAGGAAAACAGCAAAATGTTACGATTGCTCTTTTCACCTTTAATGAGAATCCTTGGGCTGGTTTTTTTAAGTTCGATGCATTTTTGATTATCCTTTTGATTACGCTTTTTTTTTTCGCGGACTGCCGTTTCGTCAAAAATATAAAAAATCGCAAGAAACGATTCCTTGTCGAGACGGAAATAATAATGGACGGAGTATGGACAAAGAGTTGGGAAAATGCTATGTAAAGAAAGTTGGAAATGGGGTAAGAACAAATAAGAACACACTTGCTTGTACGACGCGCCGAACGCGACTGAGCCGGCGAACAAATCCACGATGACTATACTTACATTTTCGTAGACGATGCTATACGCGTGTAGGAGTTTGCAAGCTGCGTACGCATGCGCGATAAAGATCCTGTCGGAATAAACTACCCGGTTACTATCGCGATAATCTCGAATAATGTTTTAAAATTTTTATTTAAATAATATAAAAAAAAATATTTGAAAAAAGAAATGTTTAGCGTATGAATTGATGAAAAATAGTTTTTAGAATTGATATGCACTCGTTTGCAATAGTAATATAAAAGAAAAAATATTAGAAAAGTTAACACGTGGATCAGTTTTCACTTAATATTCTTATGCATTTTGCAATGATGCGGTATTAAATCAATAATAATTGTTTATAATAAAAAATTTGTGAGATTTTGTAACCATTTTATTGAAAATAATTTTTTTTAGAACATTTTTTAACGTTTTTATGATAATATATAATTTATGACAATATTATGTAGTATAATATGGCAAAAAGAAGTTTTTCTATCTTCTATTTTTAATTCTTAATAAGAGATGGTAAAACAAGAATAAGTTTATATGTAAAATGTTACTAGAGAAAATAAAAATATAAGATGTTTTATCTTTTTTTCTCTTTTTTTGATTTGAAAACTATCTAATTATAAATAAAATGGTTAAATAAATAATTTTAAAATTAGAAATTTTATTTTATATTTTACAGAATTTTACTTGTAAATGTAATGTCAAATATTACAAATTCGAGAAGAAATACAATAATTCAAATTTTTATTAATATTTTAAAACTACAAAATTTATTTATTTATTTTTTTTATTCTTTAAAAATCACAAAATAAATTAAAATATCAAATTAATTAATATTTTTAATATCATTTCTAGACTAAATTAGAATATTTCATTAAATATGCATATATTAAAATTTTTTGTTACAGTGAAAGTAAAAATCACTAACAAAAATTATAACTTAATAACAATTGATTAATTGATAACGATTAATGATCAAGTACACGTGAATTTTAAAAACATTTTTTTACAATAATTTTATATTGAATAACAAAAGTCACTTCAGTCAAAGAATAGAATCAAAGAGAAAAAAATTAATTTAAAAATATAAAAAATTAAAGAAAATGAAAATTATAAATCAATGCAAATCATTAGAAAATTATTAATTATATTTTTTGAAAATCTCATTTATCTTCGTATCTCCTCTAAATCGTCGAATGAAATTTCGAAAATCTCATTTATCTTCGTATCTCCTCTAAATCGTCGAATGAAATTTCGAAAATTTAAAAAAGTTGAATGAAATTGTTTTCCAAACATAATTTATTAATTGTTAGCAATTTTAGAGAGAATACAATTTTATTCTACCCTTCATTCGTTGAATACACTCAAAGTTCATGTATAATCATTATTTGTCCACTTTTGTCTCTTTCCAATATGAATTGTACAAATATGTACATTGAACATAATTAATGATACATAACATTACTCACATATTCACGTATCATCAACAATGCAAAATATTTCACACCTTAGACGTAACAATCATCTTTTGCTCAATAATACCTGACATTGGCAGCATTAGAGAATTCTCGAATGCCTTTACTCCCACCTTATGTACATCCATTTGTCAAGATTATCGACTGCTTTCCCGTTACACTTCTGCATCGAATTTCTCTATACTTATGCTACAGTTACATGGGAATTTGAACAGATAGCAAGAGGAAATGGAACGTGGGTGAGAAAAATGGATTATACGGTGATAGATCTGTATACTCGAGAAGATAATTCTATTTGTTGAAATAAGTAAAAAGTTTATATAAACTATTTTATATACATTATTTTATATATATTATTTTTTTAGAATAATTACTATTTTTTTCTTACATATTAAGTTTCTCAAGAATTATTTCATACAGTGTTAATATAAAATATTATATAGAATAATCATAAAGTAAAGGATAGAGACTACAGATCAAAAAGAAGTATTTCATGAATGTAAAATAATAATTAGCATTGGAAATAAAATTTATGATTTTTCATTTTTTTTTTTTAAATATTTAATACTAATATATGTTGAAATATTATAAAATAATGTCAAGTTGTGTTAGCAGTTATGTTAAAAAATAATACAAATACAAATAGATTTAATAAAAAAAAGAAAGAATAAATATTCATAATTTATTATTTTCTGAGGCAATTACAAAAAGTGTATTTTTCTTTTAACATATATATATATATATATATATATCATACTGAATCATAAATTATATCTTTATCATTAATTCATAATTAAAGAAAATTTTATAAAAATATTAATTATGATTTTTGATTATTAAGTTATAAACAATTGATGTTATACGTATAATTATTTCTAAGACAAGCATTTTTCAAAATATTTGTCACTTAAATAATAATATCGTTTTAAAATTGCAAAGAATCATTTATTATTATAAATTTTTATCAAATCATGAAATATTGAAAAATTGAATAAATAATATGCAACATTGAAAATATTATATATTAAAAAATCATAAACAAATTCTTTTTACTAATTAAATAATTAATCATACACAGTAAAAGTCAAAGTGATATTAATATAGAAATCCATATTCTAATCTAACATTAAAGAATTAATATCCAGTACAGTAAAATAGTACTATGTCACGTTATTGTCTGATTTTCTTATTCTATGCCTAATGCAAACTTCAATTGTTTACAGCTAGAGTGTAAATGTTCATCCAAATGCATGGAATATAGAATGATAATATATAGATAAAAGATACAAAATGTAGACAGAAATTTGTTTGGTCATTGGAAGATCCTAAAAATATTTTTTTCATTGTATATAGATTGCATAATGTATATTCTTTGTATTTTTTTTTTTTTTTTGAAGAGAAGAATATTCGTACAAAGATATTGCATATTTTGTGCTTATAGCATATTTGTATTACAAAATTGAATTCTTTGTTATCGACAAGTATTCATAAATATCAATAGTACATTATTGTTGAAATATATTTTTTTAAATTTGAAATTTAAAATATAATATAGATATATTTTAAAAAATTGTATATAAAATTGTAAACATATATTCTACATTATTTGTATATATATATATTTCATGTATATATGATGTATATATTTTTACAAATATAAATGGTAATTTCTTAAATATTTGACGAGTATGAATATCTGCATTCTATTTATAACTTAATAAACAAATCTTAACAGACATTTTCAGTATACTCACTTTTATATCTGTTTTGATTTTTAGAATCATCTAAGATATCATCTAAAGATATTTCACGAACATATTAATATTTAATGAATGTATTATGAAAATCTTATATTTATTTTATATATATATATATATATAAAATATGTATATATTTTATTTTATATAATATGTACGTATTAATACAATATTTAATATAATAATTATATAATTTTTAATTTGATTTAATTTATAATTTAATTAATAATTGTATATTATATTAATATTTTTTTTTATTATGCTTTTATAAATATGTGCATATATTATATATATATATAAAACAAACAATGAATTTTATTTAAGATTTTTATTTAAAATGTTATACAATATAAATATTAATAATTAATAATAATATAATATATGATGCGAAAATTATAATTTATTTAATTATTACTATTTAATATGATTCATATATATATATACGTACGTATTCAAAAATATTATTCGAATATTATCAAATATATTTTGTATTCTTTCTTACAAGTCAAATAATAGATTACTTTCATTGAATACACTATATATTTTAAAAATCTTATTATATTTTTATATTATTATATTTTATATTATTATAAATCTTAAAATAAAAATTTAATGGAATAAAAAATAATTGATAGATGGCTCATCATCTTATGCATAAATATACGAAAATAACCGTACAATAGCATCTATTAATAAAAGAACATTCAATTTTATCAATTTCAATAAAATTTATATTAAAAATAATTAAAAAAAGAAATAATTTTAACAATATTTTTTTATTAACTAAAGTTAGGATTGAATATACAATTTTCATTTTTTTACTTGTTTAAAATGTGTAATAGTCAAATATCTATCGATAATTTTTTTTGAATTAATTATCTCAATTAATTATCATATAAATTCCATTTTTAATATTAAATTCCAAAATATGCATTGTATATATTCCATTCATATTCATCCCATTACATTTTTTATATTCTTTACTTTTTCCAATATATAGATTCTGAATTATCGTTATCTATTTAATTATTCTATATATACATATATGTATGTATACAAAGCTGTGAATAGAAAACGAGAAATAATTATCTGCTCGATGTAATTATAGCAATGAATGATAATTAATCGAACATCGAACGACAATCTCATTAATTAGTATGCTTTAGACATACTTATTGGCCCTCATTTTACCGTAAAAAGTAAAATACGATGATTGTCATTCGAATTTCGTAACACACGTATCCCTATATGCGCATTGTTGCTGCTTATCGATATAGGCGGAAGTACATTCGCCCATATTTTCAGTATGCACCGATGGTAAAACAGTTAGTCATCGGGTGCTCATCGCGAAACTATCGAAATTCGAAGCACGTCGCGTATGCAACATATTCGTAGGGGACAAAGCAACAAAAGATCTTTTATCAACATCGTTCCATTCGTCAAGAAATATTTTTCATTAACTTCATTGATACATCATTGTGTTAGAAATTCAATACGCTTTGTTTTTTTTTATCGACCGATTCTATGTGTAACAATTCTTTTTAGAAGAGAAAATTTTTTTCTTTTTCTCTTTTCATGAATTTTTTTATTTTTTATGAATTCTTTAAAAACGTTATTAACAAAAAAAAAAGCAGAAAATTTTTACACTGTATTGCTCTCGACAAGTGTTGAATAGTAAAACGTGGAGATAAAATTTCCTATTGACACAAATTGAAATCGTTTGTCCCATTGTCAGGTAATTTGCTCGTTTTGTGCCTCTTGCTACGCCCGGAAATAGACCGCATCACCTCATTACTCGCATTTCAAATAATTCGCACTATCAGAGATTGTACATTTGTATTCTTTTTCGCAGTGATAAGCAACTATTATGATATGTATACGATTTTCCAATATTTCTTGATCCAAAAATTCTTTCTGTTATTTGCATATGCTTTGGCTGTTACTATTTCAAAAATACATGATCTGGTTTATTTTTTAGTTTTTTTCTAACTTTCCAAGAAAGCGTATATTTTTCCAATTGTTGAGAATATTATCAATTATTTATCAAAATAATGTTAAAAAATCAACAAGTTACAACTTGATTAGATTATAAATTGTTATTCTATATTACAATCATACTTCAAATAAAATTACATAATTATACGATAATTGATAATTTTTTAAAATGAAATTTTTAAAAATGATATTAAAAATTATTTTTTATTTCTTTGCAAATAAACTTAAATCATTTTGAAAAAATAATACGATAAAATATTCTAAATAAAAATATCATTAAAATATGTAAATATGTTTCACATTGATTACCATTTTTGAAAAAATAAAATTATCAAAGATATGTATATAATAAAAAAATTAAAAGAACGTAATATTACTTTTAAAATTAATAAACAACATTAAATATTTATAATTCGATTTATAATATTGTTCACATTAAAAAAGCTTCCTGCTCATCACTTTTAAAGATTTCACTTTGACTTCTGGAAACAATTGATTTCCTTCTTCATCCACCATATCTACGTAATCTTTCTCAATCAAAGTTTCGAATCCACATCGTGCGGCTAGTTTCTGAGAGATCGGTGAGGTGAACGCTGTGGATGTTACTGAAATGTTGTATTCACGGCCAATATCCACTCTGTACAGAAATTTATTAAAATTTGCATAAAGGGAATTAAATATTCTATATTAAGATGGAATGAAATATAGAAAAAAATTCTTTCTATATCTTTATTTCTATATTACACATGATTATAACTGATGATTAGTAACAATTGTGATGAATAATTTAAAAGACGGAAAAATGAATTGAAAAAAAAAAAGATAAAATTTTTCCATTCATTTTGAAATAAAACAAGGAAAATTTTCAAGTATAATTATATTTTTTATTAGATACGAGTAAACTATCGATAAACGATTCTGCACGTGATTTCTATATAAATAGGTGAAAATAATATCAAAAAATATAGAATAAATTTTATCATTTGTTTCTAACAAAATTGAAATTAAACATGTACAGTCAAGGAATCGTGTAATGGGCTAGTTTTTCAAATTTAATTTTTTCAAAAACTAATTTTTTAAATAAAAGAAATTTATCATTGGATATTTACTTCTTGATAGGCATCCGAAAAAGTATAAAATATAGTGAGATAAATCAAATTATACAAACTTACCAATCTATATATAACGGAGTCACATATATTCTATAATTGGCTGAACTCGTCACTTATATACTGCCATTAATAGCATATATCAGTGTGTGTTACATTTAGGTAAATAGTTTATCGTTAACAAATAGCACAATACTTATTACTAATTCATATTCTATCGGAAAATAATCAATATTAGTTGTACTGGAAAATTTTTCAAACTCGTTTTATTCGAAAAGCGTCGAACAAAAAAAATATTATTTTTTTATTTTCAATTTTTTTTTCTCTACGATTCTTTATTTTTCTATATTTCATGTAATAAACTTTTATTTTATTCCATCATTTTTTAATATTTATAGCAAATAAAAATGATTATTTTCATTAATTTTATCATTTTTTTTTTTCAGTAAATTAAATTTGGTTAAAATAAAATATGTATGTATGTACAAGTAATTTTGAATTAGAAGAAATTTGAATTATTTAAATTTGGTATGCAGAAACAGTGTATAGAGATAAATGTTTTAGGAGCAGAAGGTAAGTGCTTTGAGAATTGTTGGCACAGTTCCATTCCCTAGAAATTAGTGTGTACAATTCTGCACAAAATGCAACAGTTGAGCATTATTATAGATTGAAGAAAAATAAATCAATCTTCAATAAAGCAACAATAAATTTACAAAATGTGTGAAAATTAAAGATAAAATTTTCCTATTCCATCTTAAATGTAAATATTATCTATCCAAGCTGTGAAGACAAATGGAAACTTTGAACGAAAAACAATATCGAAAAGAGCATAGAAAGACATATTAATGATTGAACTTTTGTACCTGGCATTGAGAAGATGACCGCCTAGAGCGGCTCCTCTGTAGGATGGATTCACCGAAAGGCCAAAGGCGGTCATATATTTATCCACCCCATATTTCTCAAACACATTTGCCTTTTTGCTCAACTCGACAATAGCTTTGACTACTTTCTGCCCATTTTCCGACTGGAAAACAAATGTCAAAACCGTTTCTCGCAATTTTATTCTCTTTTCTTAAGTCTAAAAATCGGATAAAACTTACTTTAATCGCGTTATAATCGAATTCCTCCCCCTTGAAACTCAATCCAAGCATGTTGCATCCCGCGATTATAGGTTTACCGCCATTCACATTTTCCGTGAACGCAACCACTGATAAACCTTGTTTCAAAAATTTATTCCAAAAATTTTTAAAAGTTTCCACGTATTCAGGATCGTTTATTCCATCTGAAAGTAGCATGCTTTTTAAATGTTTGCAGTTTTTTCTTTTTATTTGCATTTTTCCCCTTTCTAATATTATTTGTTTACATGAAAAAATATTACGTTTTATGATATGATTTTCACAATGTGAAAAGATTAGCGTTATCCGATAATTAATTGTAAACAAAAATCGACGATAATTCAAAACAGTTGAGGAAACAAGCAATTGAAACGAAAGAGGAAAAATAAAGTGAGCATAAAGCATCAGAGAAAAAAGATTTTATGATATATATGGCGTTAATTCATATGTTTTATAATTATAAATTATTTTTTATATATATATTTTAATATTTTAAAAGAGAAATTGAGATTTTAAAATAGAGTAATGAAAATTTTGAACGAAATGTTATGAAAAGAAAAGAAAATTTTTTAAAAAAGTTTCTAACTTTAATAAAAAAAAAGAAAAATTTATATTTAAAGAAAATTTTAATAAAGTAATGGAAAGGAGACAAAATTTAAAGAAATTTAATATCAATTGGATGTTTCGACTTTTTTTTAAAATATCTTCTTCTACTAGAACAAAAAAATAACTAATGATCATAAATGAAATTTTTTTTATAAAATCTTTGTTCAAAATTCTCATCATTTCATTTTATGGTTTCAATATCATTTAAAAGATTCTTTTCACCATTTTGTAAATGATTTCATAAAACATTATTATATATATCTCTTTAATTTATCAATTATTTATTTCAATTATTTTGAGTTTCACGAGAAATTTCGTATTATTGTTTTTTTAAAAACATACAAAAGATATTTTTCAAGAAATGTGGGCATACATAAAGATATTACCATAAACGAATGATTTATCATAAGCTTATAAAATTTAATCTGTTTATAGATAACTACATTCCGACCTGATTGTATAGCATTATATAGTATTGCTAGAAATAAAAGAATTATTTTTCTATGAACAGAATAGTATGAGCTATTTTATTTTTGAAAGCGTTACATTGTAAATAATTATTTTATGAAAAATAAAATCAAACGAAATATATTTTTATAAAATTAAATAAATAATATTAAAATTATAAATTTTTTTTTCATCACATCCAAAAATGTGACAATCATAGTTGCGTTTCTATTGTTTTAAATAAATTTCAATAAAAATTCTTATGGAATTAAATAATCAAAATAATCAAATAAAAATATTAAAATTATAATTCTCTTCACTCTTTTTCTTATTACATCACATAGAAATAACAATATCATGTAAGAACATAGTCGTAATCTATTCTTAATGTCTTATCATGTTACCATGTAATTTTTTTGTTCCAGAATTATGCTTCAATTAAAAATATACGAGAAAAAAAGAAGAACGACTTACTCAAAGAATTAGATATAGGCTCGTCCGCGATGAAATATTTACACATATGATCAATTACATCCTCGTATCTGTCTTCTGGTATTTGTTGAATAGAGAATTTTATCGGAGCACCTGTGTCTTTCTTTTTAGTTTCGATAATTTTCCACACTTTCGGTGGACCAGCTGGTTTTAAGGGAAAAATAATTTCCTCTTCTTTTTTGCTCATTATTATTTTATTTATCAGAACTGATATGAACGGATGATGCGTGAACAAAATTTCGAGAAAAATGAACCGATTGTGCGGTGGAAATTAACGAGTTAATAAGTATTAAATGTCACTCGTCACAGTTACTGCTACTTTGTTGAAGACTTATAGCCGAATGACATGAATTGTATAACCGCGGTAGTTTTGAGTTATCATACACGCTGATTATATATAGTTTTATAACTGTTATGAGCTCTATATAATTTCATTTTTCTTATGATAAGTATTATTAGAATAGATAACTAACTTTACCTGATATTTATTGCAATAATATTTATTATTAATAATATTTATTGTGGAATAAATAAATTTGAAATATGCATTATTTACATTAATTAAAATGCAATTGTTTTCATGAATTATTGATATTAATGCATATTTAAAACGTAAAAAATAAAATGATTAAGCGGAAAGAAAAAATGCGCGTGGATAAAGAAAACAAAATTATATATTTTGATATTTTTATTATTAATAATTCGTTAGTTTTCGTTTCATAAAATACAAGTTTTTGTTTGAAGAAGAAATGATTCTTATCATAGTTGTTTGTCACGATGCATTTATTGTCTATATTTTATGAATTATATCAAATTACTAGAGTTAAAATAAAATTTAATAAAAAAAAATAATATCCAATTTTAAAAATCATAATCTTTTGGATACTTTTTTTGTTTATCAATAAGTTTTTGCTTTAGCATATTTTTTAATAATAATTTTTTTAATAATTTAATAATTTTTCTTTATTTTGAAATATTTGTATCACATACTCTAATTTTAGAGTAATTAAAAGATTATTATTAAAAAATTGTTTCTATAAAAAATTCTTTCATTGCTTCATGTCAATTATTTACACATAAATCTTAAATAAACATGTTTACAATATTTATTTCTCTACAAACTCTGTATTAAAATCATAATCATCAGATGTTGAGATGTTGAATTCTTCGAGTTGGCCCGCCAACTTGATAGCTGCTTTTTCTATAAAATTCAAACAATAAAGCAAAATATATATTTAAGAAATATGTTTTTTTTTTTAAAAAAAAAAAAAAATGTTCTTACCTCTTCTAGCTTGTTCTTTCTTTTCTTTTTTAAATCGCAATTTATTCATTTTATTTAATTTCTGATTACCTTCAATTTCAAAAAGTGGATCTGTTTTCTTTTTTCTTGTTTCATCCATTTTCTTTTTTGATTTTTCCATTTGTTTTTTCTGTTTATTCTGAATTTTAATTTGCTATAAAAATTATTATTACGATATAATTATCTTAATAAGAATTATGTATATATGTATATATTTTATATATAAATATGTGTAAGTTAACTTACTGCTTGCTTTTGCAATTCAACCTCCATAGCAGATAGAACTGGTCCAGAACTTTCAATTAATAATGAATCAATAGTCTGTTTTTTTGAAGATTCTTCTTCGAAATTATCAAGCATCATTTTTTCTTCTGCAGCAAAACTTTCAATATCGAATTCTTTACTGATTTGGCTAACTATTTCTGCGGATACGTGACAATCCGGTTGTTCTGGAGGAACAGTATAATATCTAAGAAAATAATACAAGTTTATTATATTTGATAATCTATAAAATATAATGTTTTATAAATACCTAATTTTTCCAGAATTCCAATCTTCCAAAATACTGCGAGCTGCTGCTATTGTATCAGGTATTCCACCTTTTCTGAATTTTCCCATTCTGGTAGCTTTTAAAGCAAAAAATTCATCAGGTGTTGAATATTCTGTTATATTATACATTTCCATTATTTGTGGTTTAGAAACTCTTTTCAAAATAGCAGTTGCAGGTGTGTATGGATCTTTTAGGGATTGAATTTTTACTGCATTTTTTAAAGCTACTGAAGATTCATCTGAATTATCTCCAGGATTAGCAAAAACTATACCTGGAGAATCTAATAATTTTATTTTAGAGTCTAATTGCACTGCTTGCATAGCTTTTGTTACTCCTTAAAATAAAAAAATTAAAAATTATAAGAAAAATATAAATATACATCATAAAATGAAAAAAATCTTATAATCTTATAATCTAAATACCTGGAGTACTTCCCACATTACATGCTCTACTACGTTTTAAAGAATTAATAACACTTGATTTGCCAACATTTGGAAGTCCAACAACTCCAACTCTAATGCTAGTTTTAACATTTCCAACATTTCTACAATAATTTGCAAGCAATGACAACAATAATTCAGCACCAAAACAAGTTCCACTTTGTATCATCTTTTCAGTTTTTTTCCCTAATTTTCTTCTACCCAATCTTTTAGCTTGGTCTTGAGTAGAAGCTTTAAATGCTACAGCTGGTAAACTACTACGTAAGTATCTTAACCATTGATCTAAATTTTCTCTGGGTACTAAATCTGCTTTATTTAAAACTATTACCAATCTTTTATTTTCTTTTGCAGATTGTACAGCTTCTTCAACCTATAAGTTATTTTTATTTAAGATATCTTATATTTGTAATATATTTATCTAATATTTATAATATATTTAATATACCTGTTTACATCTAGTTCCTAAAGGATCTCTAGCATCAACAACTTCAAGAATAACATCAGCTGCATCTAAAACTTTTTTGAATTCTTTGTAATAAGCTTTTAATGAATTTTCCTCTTTAGTTAAAGCATCTTTTATTTTTTCATGTGGAGTATCTATTTCCATCTCTTGATGTTGCTGTTGTTTATTCTCTGCAGCTGAAACTAATCCTTGCAAACCTGTTTTAGCAAGTTCTTCTTGTTTTTTTTGACGTGCAGCTTCACGTTGCTTTTGTTTCTCTTCTTCGTGTTGTTTTCTCATAGCTTCTACTTCTTTAAGAATATCTTTTTTAAAAGGACATTGATTTGGAACTTCAATTATTTTTGGTTTGTCTATAAAACAACAAAAAATCATTAATATCTATAACTATAATAATTCAAATATACAGTTATAATATTTACTTTTAGGATGTTTCTTTGCTTCTTTTCTTAACTTCCTATTGTGTTCTCGAACTTTTTTCTCAATTTTATATCTTTTTCGAGCTGGCATTCGTTTGCTCGGTTTCTCTATAATAAATGACATATAAATAACAAATAAAACAAATATATATATAATATAATAAATAATATAATAATATAATAATATAATATAATATAATATAATATAATATAATAAATATAA